TTATTATTATAATTTAATTTATATACCGCCCTTCTCCCGCAGGACTCAGGGCGGTGCACAGCATATTAAAAACAGTACAAATACAAAACATAAAAAATACAAACCCCTGTAAAACCAGATTAAAAAACCGAATATTAGAAGCTGTGTTTCTATTTAAAATTATTTTTAAAATCACCCTAAATAAAATCCTCCCTAGGTCTGTCTGTCTGTCTATCTATCTATCTATCTATCTATCTATCTCTATATATCTATCTCTATATATCTATATATCTATATCTATCTATCTATCTATCTATCTATCTATCTATCTATCTATCTATCTATCTATCTATCTATCTATCTATCTATCTATCTGTCTGTGTCTGTGTCTGTGTCTGTGTCTGTGTCTGTGTCTGTGTCTGTGTCTGTCTGTCGTCTGTGTCTGTGTCTGTGTCTGTCTGTCTGTCTGTCTGACTATCTAAGAGTTAAGTGGAAGACAAGTATAGCTATTTCAAGCTCTTTTAGCTCTCATCAGCTAGTCTTACCCCTCTGGGATTCGAACCTGGGCATGTTAGGCAGTTGTATTAACCATTAGGCCACAGGCTCCTCCTCACTCTTGTTAGTAGCTATACTAGTCTTCCATTTAACTCTTTGTGAGCCACAAAAATTCTGAATTTTTGCACGCCTGGCTGAGGAATTCTGGGAGCTAAAGTCCACCAGTCATAAAAAGGTCATACATAGTTCCCTCAAGTTGGCTGAGGAATTCTGGGAGTTGAAGTCCACAAGTCATAAAAGGGTCATAGTTTCCTCACGCTGGCCGAGGAATTCTGGGAGTTGAAGTCCACCAGTCATAAAAGGGCCGAGTCTAAAGACCCCTGCCGTAGAGTGACTGTATCCCACTTTGCACAGTAAAACCAAGTCTGGCTTTTCTTTTTGAACAGGATCAATTAATCAGACACGTGGCAGAAAGTTGTTCAGCTCTCCTTCATTTGGATTTATCTCACACGGACATTTCAAACGGAACGCTTGCACTGCTGCCTAGGTGATATCTAGAGATAAATATGTATAGGGCAGGGGTCCCCAACCTGTGGGCCGCAGCCCGGTAGTAGGCCACGGCCTGCTGGCCACTGGGCTGCGAGATAGGCCGGGCAGTGTGCTCATGTGTGCGCGCACACTCCTTCACTTGCGCTAGCGCCACGGCTGCGGGGCGCAAAAACGACACCGCACCACGGGCCGTAAAACGGGACTCGGGCACAAAAATGGGACACCGCTGCACCTTGGGGCATGAAAACGGGCCGCTGCCGCCGTGCCTCAGGGCGTAAAAACGGCCCGCCGCTGTGTCGGGTGCGAAAACAGGCTGTCGTGGCACCGCTGCGCTGCAAGGCACAAAAATGGCCACCGCCACACAGCAGTGTGCAGAATCAAGGCGCCATGCAAGAACGAGGCAGGGCTAGTGAGTATCATGCAGGTGCTAGCCCCGCCCCGTGTGCTCGTAGCCCCGTGCACGCTCGCACGCACACATGTAAAATGCTTCTCGCTCCCTTCCGGTCCGCCAACTGAGAAAGGTTGGTAACCTCTGGCATAGGGTCTCCTGCTTGAGCAAGGGGTTGGATTAGATGACCTCCAAGGCCCTTTACAATTCTTTTATTTTGTTCTCCAAGAAAAATCCAGTCCGATCCCTGTGACATCGCGCCCCCCCCCCCACTGCCACAGGCTGGGAAGCAGATTGTATGCTAGTGACACACACCCCCCCACACACAATGATAATACAATAAATGGAAATATAGACAGGCCGAGGTGTATACAGGGAGTCCTTGACTGTTTAGTGACTATTCAGAGTTATAACGGTGCTGGGAAAAGCATCCCCGTGGTCACGTGATCAAAATGCGGACGCGTGGCAACTGGTTCATACTTACGACGGTTGCAGTGTCCCAGGTGTGTTTGTGTGTGTCACGTGATCCCCCTTTGACAAGCAAAGTCAAGAGGGGATAAAGCCAGATTCACTTAAAAGAACCGTGTTACTTAACAAGTGCAGTGGATTCGCTACACAAATACGGCAAGGAAGGTTGTGGAACAGGGCCCTGCCTTGCTTAGCAACGGAAACCGGCGGCCCAATTGTAGTCGTTAAGCCGAGGATTACCTGTAACTCTCTTAGCTTAACCGACCTCCTGTGGCTGCTCTTAATGGAGATAAAATGAAGGGATCGCCTTCTATAGCCCTACTGGGTGGAAAGTGGAGATATTATTCCAGCAAGTACAGTATTTCAACACCTCTATTTGTTATGTCGCTATGACAATTCTCCATTCCACAGTGTGAACCTGCGCTGAGACTCAGTTCTTCAAGTCCACTCCGTTAATTTCTGAGTAATTCAAAAGGGCGAAATCTAAACTCATCAGATTTGCAGACCGCACCAAACTGGGCAGGGGTAGCCAACACTCCAGAAGATAAGCTTAAGCTACAGCTTGAACGCTGGGGCCCATCTAATAAAATTAACATTCAGGGGTCTACATTTAGGCAAGAAAAAAACAAATATACAGTATAGTACAGGTGGTATCTGGCTTAATAGTAGCAACTGTGAGAAGGATTTCGGAGTCCTAGTGGACAATCACTTAAATGTGAGCCAGCCATGTGTTGCAGCTGTCAAAAAAGCCAACACAGTCCCAGGCTGCATTAACAGAGGGATAGAATCAAGATCATGTGAAGGATTAATACCGCTTTATAATGCCTTGATAAGGCCACACTTGGAATACGGCATCCAGTTTTGGTCACCGCGATGTAGAAAACATGTTGAGACTCTAGAAAGAGTCCAGAGAAGAGCAACAAAGATGATTAGGGGACTGGAGGCTAAAGCATATAAGGAAAGGCTGCCGGAATTGGGTATGTCTAGTTTAATGAAGAGAAGGACGAGGGGGGACAGGATAGCAGTGTTCCAATCTCTCAGGGTCTGCCCCAAAGAAGAGGGAGTCAAGCTATTCTCCAAGGCGCCTGAAGGCAGGATGAGAAGCAACGGATGGAAACTGATCAAGGAGAGAAGCAACCTAGAACTAAGGAGAAACTTCCTGACAGTTAGAACAATTAACTAGTGGAACAACCTGCCTCGAGAAGCCGTGAATGCTCCAACACTGGAAGTTTTAAAGAAGAGACTGGACAGCCATTTGTCTGAAATGGTATAGGGTCTCCTGCCTAAGCTGGGGGCTGGACTAGATGACCTCCAAGGTCCCTTCCAGCTCTGTTATTCTGTTATTCAGTGCTCCATTCATTGTTTTCTCTATCTTATAATATAAATTCTGCCTTTGAGCGCCTAGTGTGACTCAGTTCCATTGCAG